ATGTTTCAAAGAATGACAAGGAAGACATACTATCAAGATTTCTATTGGAGAGCAAGAAGGATCCAGAGGAAATGAATGACAAATATCTAAGGGACATCATTCTGAATTTTATGATTGCTGGCAAAGACACCAGTGCAAATACACTCTCATGGTTCTTTTACCTGCTCAGCAAGAACCCTCTAATACAGGAAAAAGTTGTACAAGAAGTGAGGGATGTTGTTGGTAATCAGGTCGGCGAAGCGAAAATCAATGAATTTGTGGAGAACATTACTGATGGAACTCTTGAACAAATGCATTATCTTCACGCGGCATTGACAGAAACGTTGAGGCTATACCCCGCAGTTCCCATTGTATGTATATACTCCAATAACGCTGTATTAATTTTCTTTATGGATAGTTTTTGAATGAGATATTGTTATTTGTTATAGTTGTTTGTGAAAACCTAAACAGGACAGTGCCAAAGCCTGATAAAATCTGTGTTAAATATATCAACACCAACGCCACAAGACAAGAGAAATATTCCTTGAAAGTACCCCATTGTGTTGGCTATTATCAAACTAAAGATGTTTAAGTCTAATTATTCTTCAGTTTCAATTAGGGAAATGAGTTTAATATCTATGGTTCTGTACATTAAGGTGAAATTTTCATATACTAAAGTTAAGGCCAAATGCATAAGCACTGAAAATATTGACTTCTTCGTGTTTTTGGCTTTCCTCTAAGGATGGGAGATGTGCAGAGGTAGATGACATTCTTCCTGATGGCTTTAGAGTGAGTAAAGGAGATGGAGTAAACTACATGGCCTATGCCATGGGCAGAATGCCTTATATTTGGGGAAAAGATGCTGACGATTTCCGGCCTGAAAGATGGCTCAACAATGGAATTTTTCAGCCTGAATCACCCTTCAAATTTGTCACATTTCACGTGAGCAACTTAATTTCCTTTTACTTGTCACATAGCTTAATCATCCTAAAGTTCACTAATAGTTGTTTCACTGAATTGGTGCTACTTGCAGGCAGGTCCTCGGATCTGTCTAGGGAAGGACTTTGCTTACCGGCAGATGAAGATAGTAGCAATGGCTCTTCTTTGCTTCTTCCGCTTCAAATTGGCTGATGAAACAAAAGCTGTAACATATAGGACCATGTTCACCCTTCACATAGATGGCAGCCTCCCTATGCTTGCAGTTCCAAGGGCAACCTGATAAAATTTCCTATATCTGAAGAAAATCAATGTTCAAGGTTATCACATATTACGATATTGTTATGATATTTGCAGGTTTTTGCTCTGTATTCTGTTTGTAATTTGTAGATTATGGAAGCAACCTTGTAAATATATGTAAATTAGCAAATATGTAAAACCATGACTTTCATCACCCCAAGAAACTCTCTGCAATCTTGGAAGAACCTCGGCAAAGATTTGATGTAATTTCTTTTCGTTTTTGCCCACACAAACCGGCAGTTTAGAAAGTAGGGGTGGGCACAGTCCAAATTGGATCGTTTTTATCTCAAAATTACGGCCAAACCAATTACAATATAACGGTTTGGTTTGGTTTAATTTTGACAAAAATCACGGAGAAAACCAAACCAAACCAAACCAATTTAAAAAGGAAACCCTAAGCCTAAAACAATTCTCTTTCCTTTTCCATTTTTCAACATCATTAACCCAATTACAACAACAAAATTCACTAATTGCTCCATAATTTTTTTATTTCCTAGCGTATCAAACAATTCTAAAACTCAACATGTCATAAAACTTCAAATTTCAGTAACTAATATAGCTACGATTTAAATATCAATAACTCCAAGGGTCCTTCAAACGTCAAATTCAATATCCACTCCTAATTATAATCTAATTATAGGATTACATGTGTAAAATAAAATATAAATATAGATATATATATTGAGGAGAGTCCTACCTGACTTGGTTATTTGTTGCTTAATGATTCTTTGGGAGCTGTTAACGCTCGTCTGATTAGTACTAGTTAGTTGTTGTGTTGGTGTCTGGGGCTTTTCCCCCTTTTTCTTCATAAAATAAAGTATACAGTCCGGTTCGATTTAGACCGGTTTATAAAAACTCAAAATTAAGTTATATACTATTTGGTTTGATTTTTAAATCGTTTCACTTTTTCTTTATTAGAACTAAATCAAACAAATAATTTGAACCGACAAGTGTAGTTGGTTCGGCCATATTGATGCCTACCCTTCTAGAACTTTTGCAATGCTAATCCTAAACAGTGATTACGTTGGCACATTTGAACCAACGTAATCAGTTTCGTGCATCTTCTCTCTCTATAAAAACAGTGAAATATAAACAAAAAAGACTACAGATTACTGTCAGAATCAGCCATGGACTTTCTTTCAAACCCCATCTTCCTCACAGCTCTGGTTCTAGCCTTATCCATTTTCACTGCCCAAATCCTTGCAAGGAAACTCACCAAGGCAAAGAAGAAGCACCCACCTATTGCTGGCACAGTGCTCCATCAGCTACTTAACTTCAACAGGGTACATGATTACATGACTGATCTTGCTAGGAAACACAAGACTTACAGGCTGCTTGGCCCCTTCAGGAATGAGATTTACACCTCCAACCCAGCAAATGTTGAGTACATACTCAAGACAAACTTTGATAATTATGGCAAGGTATGTTTCCAAATCCATCTCTGGTTAATTAACTTGAAAATCATCAATGGGTGGATGTTCTTATGTTACAAGATGTTTATAGTTTCATGGATTGCAATTAAGTTTCACCAAAATCTACCAAGTCCTTGGTCCGATTCAACTAACTTTCAAGATGCATACACCCCAGAAATAGAAATAATGACAATATACGGTCATTTCAAATTTTCTGTTCTTGTGTGTAAATTTACTGTGAAGATATTAAGGATTAAAGCTGATAATTTTATGATAAGATCACAATCGTGCTAGGAGCCCAGGACAAGTTATCTTGAATGCCATCAGGATGGAACTTTAGTTTTGAATTCTTGGTATTGAGGCAGGGTCTAACTTGCTCTTGTGCAGGGATGGTATAACTACAATATTCTGAAGGATCTTCTGGGTGATGGAATTTTTGCAGTTGATGGTGAAAAGTGGCGCCAGCAGAGAAAGATATCGAGCCATGACTTTTCGACGAAGATGTTGAGGGATTTCAGCAGCGTAATATTCCGGAAAAATGCAGCAAAACTTGCTGATAAGGTGTCCGAAATTGCAACTTCCAACCAGGCAATTGATATTCAAGTGAGTTTACAAAACTCATTTGTTCAAAAAGAAACCAAGCCAATTTGATTATCCTAATCAACTAGCTATGGTATTAATGTAGGATCTATTTATGAAATCATCCTTGGACTCGATTTTCCAAGTAGCATTTGGTACTGAATTAGACAACATGTGTGGATCAAATGAAGAAGGCAAGAGTTTTGGTGATGCTTTTGATAATTCAAGTGCATTGACCCTCTGGCGTTACGTTGATGTTTTCTGGAGGATCAAGAAGTTTCTCAACTTGGGATCAGAAGCTGCCTTAAGGAAAAATACCACAATTGTTAATGATTTTGTGTTTAAGCTAATCCACAACAAAATTGAGCAAATGCAGAAAAAGGATAACGGTCCGGCAACTATGAGTGACACTTACCTACAAGTTTCTGTATCTGATTCAGTTTAGAACCATGATACAAACTTGTTTTACACTCGATGCAGGTGGACAGAGAAGACATTTTATCAAGGTTTTTGCAAGTGACTGGGACTGATCCCATATACTTGCGAGATATAATTCTCAATTTCATTATAGCTGGTAAAGACACAACAGCAACCACACTTGCGTGGTTCATTTACCTGCTGTGCAAGCATCCTTCTGTACAAGAAAAAATTGTACAAGAAGTGAAGCAAGTAACCGGCATGAAAAAGATCACCAACTTTTCCAAGTTTGCATCTGGTGTGAGTGAAGATGCTCTGGAAAAGATGCATTATCTCCATGCTGCAATCACTGAAACTCTCAGAATCTATCCTGCAGTTCCAGTGGTAAGGAAAATTATAAAGAATTTCTCTTCATCTCGGCCCATAGGGAAAGAATATAAAAATCAAGGGACTAACTACATAAAACCTTGTGTTGTGTTCGTATTACTTTACTTTCTAGCTGCAATGAATTTCTACTTTAGTGTGATATCCTGGAAAAGTTTTTTCAACTTCCCAACATTTCAAACATCCATTCTGCTTTTGTGCAGGATGCAAAGATATGCTTTTCTGATGATACTCTGCCAGATGGGTACAGTGTGAGGAAAGGAGATTTGATAGCATACCAACCTTATGCAATGGGCAGGATGAAAGTCATATGGGGAGATGATGCAGAGAAGTTCAGGCCGGAGAGATGGCTCAACGAGACTGGAGTCTTCCAGCCAGAGAGCCCTTTCAAGTTTTCAGCCTTTCAGGTTTTGCTTTTGAAGCTCATCTTTATCCTAGACATATCTAACTCTTCTGGTTAACTTCATCACTGAAGCAACCTAAATGCCCCTAATTTCTTTGTATAATGTATGTGATGGTTGACAGGCTGGACCGCGAATATGCCTTGGAAAGGAGTTTGCTTATAGACAAATGAAGATCTTCTCAGCCGTTTTGTTAAGCTGTTTTATGTTCAAAATAAGTGATGAGAACAAAGTTGTCACTTACAGGACAATGATTAATCTTCACATTCTGGGGGGTCTGGAAGTTCGTGCCTTCCGCAGATAATTTAGATTAGTAATGTCACAAATTATGTAACATCATTTATACTTCAAAGGCAACCCACAACATGTCCCCTGAAAGGATTGAACTAGAATATCAAGACTTAGTATTTGTTAGTATTTTGATAATAGATTCACAATGCAAATGTTCCACTATAAATGACCCTATATACAAACAAGTTTTAATCAATAAACAACTTTTTCAGGAATCTCTGATTTTAGTCATTTGCCTTGGTATGATACTGATCATGTATCCTAGAAAACCGTGTCAAACTGAATTCAACAAAGAGCTTCAAAGATATCAACAACAAAAATACTCCATCCTCTTTCCATACATTACAAATGTAACCAGCACTTACAAATTGCTAGACTGTAGCAAATGAACTCGCTGCATAAATTACAAAATTGCAGAGGCAAAGTACCCCTTGATATAGTCACAAACTTCAAGACATGTATCTACCAGGCAAGTAGAAAGAGAGGCAAAAGAATTAGTATGCATAATGGTTTCACCAATTACAATGCTGTTGAAGTCACAGGAGGAGGAAGCTGAATCCCTGGCCTTGCATTCCATCCTTTCCGTTGCCTATACGCCTCGATTGCCTTGACTCGAACCCTCTCCTTAGAAGCATCTTGTACATTCTTCAATGCCTTCACAAAACAGGGGAAGTTTATAATTAAACTGACAAACTTTAATCTGTACTGTATCATAAAGAACGTATTTTGCTACCTTAGGCACAATCAACTTTGGAGGAGCTTGAACCACGTCTCCAAATTTGATTTCCTCGCATCCAGGAAAGTCTATATTATCTTCTTTCTTGCCCTTTTTCTTTTTGTTTTTCTTTGCTTCCAAGTACCTGAATATAAAAAGCTTGTCAGTTGTTACCAATCAATAGAAGATGGGTAAGCTTGATTCATTTGATCACCGCAATGATACAATAATCCAAGAAAATTTCAATTTGTTCACTTTTCCAGATGATTCATTTACAAGCATTCTGATACAAGAACATAAGGCAGTCATACTGACCCTGCTATATTATCTATGCAGCATTCCACTTCCAGGGAGCTAAACATTCAATACTTTCATTCGAAAAAGGTGTTAAAATACGTACTTTTTCTTGCGCTCCTTTCTTTTTAGACGAGTTTCTGATTGCTTCGATGCTTCTGTTTCAAACCGAAGGTCATGCACTTGCTTTCTCTTTCTTTTCTTCTTTCTCTTCTCATCTGTATGTTGAGGTTCCAAATTCTCAGCATCACCCTCATCTTCAAAACCAGTCTCGAAGTCCACTTCATCCGTGGGTTTCTGTTCACATAACCATTGTTTTTTCACTTTGTTATACAACATGCCAATGTCACCAACTCAAATTCAATGTGAGCAATCACCAGTAATAATTAAACTAAACCTCAAACATTGAATTGCAATTTTTGCACAAAAAACTTGCTTCAAGTTTCAATCAAACTGTCCAAACCAAACCAGAAGCCAAAACCCACAATTTCATAAACATATGCATAATAACTTTTGTAACATAAGTGCAACGACAAGGAAAGCACTTACTGGTTCAGCAGCATCAACTCCATTTTCCCTCTTTTTTCGTTCAGCAGCTTTTACGACCTTGAAAGAAGAGTCTGAAACCCATTGATAACAAACAATTGACAACAGTAAGTTTAAACAGGGAGAAAATTAAGTAAAAATATTTTTTTCTTTCGAAAAAAAAAAACAAAAAGTGAAGAAGAAACCTTGAGGGTCATGAGATTTAGTGAAGGCCAGGAGTTTGCGAAGTTTAGAGGGCAAAGCGTCGGCTTGGGAATAATCAGGTGGTGGCGGCAGCCTTGTGTAGCCTCCGTGCGCTGCATTGTAGTTCTTCTCTCTTCGTCTCCTTCCTTTACCTCCCATCTCTCTCTCTCTCTCTCTCTCTCTCTCTGTGTAAACCCTAAATCACTGTAATTAGGTGGCTGTGGGCTTTTGGGCTTATTTGAGGCCCATCCTCCAACCTATCTTCTCTTTTCTTGACCCGGTAAAAATTATTTCAAGGAAAGATAAAATCTCAGCTCATCTTTCATAAATATTCACCAAAATACTCTCTAATCCCAAGTCCTAATTTTAGCCTTAATTTATTTTTCAAGAAAAATAAAAAAGAACAACTCCAAACTTGCTCTTAGGTAGTTTTATAGAGGAAAAAAAAATTGTAATCTGCGTGCCATACTTTTAGTGTGAATTTACCTAAAATTTTAACAGTGTCGATTACAATTGGCACTCATGCAATTTAATTAGTATCAGTCACCCAAAAACTTTCTTTTAAAACTTAGCAAAAACAACTTGAGGTTACGGATTGTTACACTATATTGAAACTAACCACTACTTTTTTTTCCAGTGGGTGACCTTATTTTCACCTACATTTACGCTAAATTTATGATGTGTAGTGTAGGCAATTTTTCTAATCTTTATATCTTAAAGGTTTGAGGCTTTTTAAATAAAGGAAACTAATATATGCGGACAACACTAATGGGTATAACTCAAGCTGGTTGAGCTCTTCCAATTCCACTCGTGGGCAGAACAAGACACCTGTTTTTGCATAGCATCAATTAGCATCCATTGTGAACAGAAATTAGGCTCACCGGTGTCATGTGCGGTCAAACAGATGGTGAAGACAACGCAACGGTGTAACAATTTGTAACTTTTAAGATTGATTTTGTCAATTTGTTACATAAGGAAGTCCTGTATCATCTTTTTTTTATGGGTCTGAAAAGTCTTGTATCATCTTAAGTAGACAAAATAATAACTTAAATTTGGGGTTGGGATAAAAATGCAGACAAATTGTTAACCATAATAACGAAACAACTACTTCCAGTGGAAATTTGGACTGATTCAGTTCAGTTTGGCACAACAAAACCAAGTTTCAATCAATCGCTCTTAATGAACAGTCCTGGCAGCCAAATCCAGTACTTTACAAGAATGAATAGCTTCTATATTTTCATTCACTAAAATATATATATATATATATAAAATTAATGGACAAAAATGAACAGCTCGAGGCCCCGATAGACTTGAACTCATCATCTCAATGTACATACTTACAACCGAATTGAGTCAAAAAAAACCCTCGCAGCAACTCTAATAACCTGTAACTCTAGGTATAAAGATAGGGTTTTGCTTACCTAATACACATATGTTACACTCAAAACACAGCTCAAAACTGAATGAATTGGCTCGATTAACAAACAGGGGGGTCCGCTGGCATGCCCTTGCAGTTCTTGCCTTGGTGGTAACTTGTATTGGGTATTTCTGTATCTTTTTCCAGTATGTCCTAAAACTATGATTTAATGAGGGGACTTAGCCCATCACCTTCCCAACCAAGCTTGAGCATGTGATCCACCACTTTCAAGCTCAACTGCATGCAATAAGCAGCAGATTTACAATGTTATAGGAAAGTGAATTTTATAATTATTACGCACATGAAAGTCAGAGGCGGTTCCTCCAACCAGACTGGAACCCCAGTATCAAGTTGGATAAAATCACAAAATCAACTCTAATACAAATTAAATGAGGAAAACAAATTTTTGACTTACAGCAGGATCCGTGAAAATTATCAACTGTTTATCTGCAGTTGACACCAAAAGGTTTGTGTTATCTGCATTTAGTGCTAGAGATACGATATCCTGTCCTTCTCCCAATTTCAATACATGAAAAACCTGCAGCAGAAAGTACCACAGGCTTGTTAACAAGATAGGAACCAGTTCACTTACGAAACCAGACATGCATTACATCAAATGGGTATGATCCAACCCAGGAAGACACATCTGAAAAGACAAGAACGAATGAAAGCCCCTATTGCAGAATTTTTTATCATGTGGAAAGCAAGATCCCCAATTGTCAAACAAGTCAGATTGTTCCAACATAGGAAATTTAACCAACAAAAAAGTCAAAGAAAAACATATGGCTAACCTAGAAGGAAAAGCACCCTAATTTGCATTTCTCATACCTTTAGTGTATGAAGATCCAGAAAGCAAATTGAAGGCAATGTAACGTCCAATCTGTTGTTTTCATCAGTTTTATCTGGCTCCTGATTAAGATCCCCAAATTCTGTGTTATTCAGTTTCAAATCCCAGCTGCCTCTATCAATTTCCATAGATGAGTTTATTCCAATCAAAGCACTCCATCCATCAACAGAAATTTCCATACAACTGATGCTACCAGAGAAAGGTATCTGAGCTCTGCCAATCAGAACCCCATTAAGAGTAAAGGTATTCAGAGTATTGAGTGTTTTATTCCAAGTCAATACAATTCCCTCAGATGATAGGCAGACGGCATGCGCCTCCACACCAGGTAGCCTTCTGATCAACCGACCTCTTCTTATAGAGTGCAGGAGAACATCTGATGAATCGGAGCATGAAACGACAATGCCAAGATCTGAGCTGACACAACAACAGAGTATTTCCCTCTGGTGGCCTCGAAGAACATGTATGGGACCTTCAATACGACGCCTCCTGCTTTTGTCTGCTAATATGTGTGATAAATTACTACCACTGGTTGTGCGCGGTATATCTGTCCCACTGGAAGGCTCTGATACACTACTAGAGCGAGAGGTAAATGCCCTATGTATTCTCCAAAGTAAAACAGTGGTGTCTCGGGATCCCGTCACAAGGTAGTTGCTATCAGGTGAAAGTCCAAGGCAAGTCACTGGAGCACAATGGCCAAAGGCTGTCTCTAATGTTTTTGCTCCATCTGATGATATTATCTTGATACTGTTATCCACATGCCCACCTAGTTACAAGCCAGAAACTAGTACTCAGATTCCAATTTATTTAAAAATGATATGAGACAGTTAAAACAAGATATAATACATGCCCAGCTAGTTACGAGCCAAATAGTATCACATGATATTTTCTGAATAAACAAAATGAGGTAAACACTCAACACTGATTTATCATTTTTACCATCTGCAGTTATACATAAAACATTTTAAAATGATGCATGAATTGAGGAATAATGTTGTCATAATAAAATGCAAATACCCAGAAGAAAATTGTTCCACAGTCAAAGTTTCCTATTAACACAAAGTTATGATAAGGTTTCCTATTCATTTCTCTTGTACTTCCATCATTTTACTGCTTTAATCTTACTCTAAATTGCTAATCACCTATTTGGTAACATTTTCGATTTTGGTTTTTATTTTAAATTAGAGAAGGAAAAATGAGAGAACAGTGAGAAGAGAGATGAGAGATGTGAGAGAGGGATGAGAAAATGTATATGGAATGATTCATAAAATATAAACTAGAAAACCAAATTTTTTTAAAACAGTTTTGGTTTAATATATTCTCTCTCATTATTTATCACGACTGAGATCTACAACAAATCCTCTAGCCTTTGGGACATGTTTTCCCTCTTTAATTTTGAAAAGGAGACAAAAAAAACTAAAAACCAAAAACATAAATATTATCAAACATTAACAAAGTACTTTTTACATAATAGAACAAAGCAGAGGACTGAGGTAAGGAAGTGAACACATACCAGTGATTATTTCTTTATCACATGTTATGGATACTACAGCTGAGCTTCTAATTCCAGATGTAGCAAATGCCAGCGCTTGGGGAAAATGCCATTCATCAGAACCAGATCCAGCTGGCCCTTTGAACATACGGATAAACGTTCCACCAGTGGAGCTTGCTGTAGCCTTTCCATGTTGAAAGAGGAAAGGCATACCCTGGCCATCAGGTGTGTTTGGCTGCCACTTGTGCTCTGCAACATTTGCTGCTGGTGCATTTATATTAGCAATAATGACAGCATCTGACGAAGCATGAATGGCTGCTGCAGGAAGATTGCAGCGCTCAGGAGCAGGAACAGCATATGGTTTGACTTCTTTTGGGTTTCGAAAGATGGTCTGACATCCAAAAATCAATCACGAAAATGGTTCATATAAAGGAAATCTACATGTAATGCATGATAAACCAATACCAGAAATATTTTCATAAAAAAATCAAATCCGTATCAGTTATCCAAAATGTATTATACAGTGACAGATGTACTATTCAGTTAAGTTTCTTGTTTTTCACAAGATAAAGTTACCTGCAAATGAAGAACATCTGCCAACGGCAGCTTCTTCAAGTGAGGAATTGTAAGCAGTTGGGATGGTGTTTGCCCAAAGTATGCAATCTGGTCCTGTGTAGCACGCTGCTGTACCTGTTTTGGCAGATTGAGGGAAAAGGAAATTATGAATCAACCAATTATGGATAAAATCAAACAGATGCCAAAGGAAACTAGACTTACTGGGTCTGAGATCTTATCAATATCAACAGTCCCTTCATAGGTAATGTAAAAGAAGACATTATTTGCCAATATAGCTTCTTTGCCACGTTGCTTATACCTGAATATTCCAATTCATTAATGAAAATAACAGTTTCAAAAATAAAACTCTCAAAGTTGATATATACAGACAAATTCTAGAGTTGTCACCAACGTATAAAAGATGACAAAAAAGGCAAAACTAAACAAGGTGAAGAAAACAAATAATTTATAAATAATTTTTGTAAAAATAAATCTCCAAACAGAAACCTACCCGAATATGAGATCAATCCATTCATGCAAATGTGCGGATACATGCTCACTTTCAAGAGCCTTCCGATGCTTATGGATGAAATCAATTGGGTTTTCGGCCCAAGGTGGAAGTTTTACAGAATCTGACATGTAAATAGAAAAGCAGAACAATCAAACTCAGTTTAGTTGACAACAATCTACTAGTTCCACTAGTACAGTGTACTCGAACCTACCAAGTTGTCCACCGGTTTGTGTAGTACCAAAATCGATTGAATTTTCATTGGTTAACATCTCAGGGAGGTAGAATAACTCCGGAACCTAATATACATAAATGAATTAATAACCAAAATATAGTCTTATTAGCCCCTGCAAGCAATCACTGTGTAAATGAAATAAACTTTGCATATTATTAGATAAAATGAAGCTTTTACG